TTTTTTTTTTTTTTTTTTTTTTTTTTTTTTTTTTTTTTTTTTTTTTTTTGGGGGGGGGTGGATTTGATTTTGGCCAACTCTAACGGATGCTGAAATAGACAATTTTTTTTAATTGCCAAAGGGGTTAAGAATAGCTAGCCCATGACCACTAATTGTTAGTGGAGCAAGTTTGCCTCAAGTATCTTGGATGTCCCTTGCAATACATCCAACTTCTACCCAACTCTCTATGCAAGGGACATGCGAAATACATACTTGAGGGGAGGATTTATGTAGCACTTGTTCCTTTGTCGGTTGTTGAAATCTTGGTTTGCCTGCTTGTTGGCTTGCTGGTTTCTTTGATGCTGATTCTTCTAGTCTCTCCTTGGTTGTGAGCTTCTCTCTTCATCCTTTTCCGGTAGCCTTGCTTTTTAATTGAAGAGCGCCTTATCTTCATCTTTTATAGAAAGGTTTGATAATGGCTTCTCCAACTATTCTTCATTTGCCAACAAATTTTCCAATTAAGGTAAGGTTGGTTCTGTGATCCACCTGTGTGTGGCTTCCACTATGCCTTAATACTTTGGCCTCAATCCATGGACAAACTATCTTCTCATCCTTGTGTGTCTGATTGCATTTTCTGGATCTAATAATGATATTTCATCACATAAGGATTTAACCGTTGAGAAGTATTAACTTATTGTCATGTTCTGTTGCGAGATCGATAGAAACTCATTTTCAAGTCTTGTTATCTCGCATCATTTTTCTTTGTAAAAATCATCGCCAACGTGTCCCAAGCTTATTTGGGTGTCTTGGTGTTTCTAATCCATTGTAAGACCTCATATTCAACTGTTCCAGTTAGAGCATACATAGCCTTTTCAGCTTTTTGTCTTTCCACATTTTGCTGTGTCAACATCAGTTGGTGGTGTAGTGTTTGAGCTACCAACAGTATCCCATAATTCTTGTCAACTAATAGGAAAGCAGTGCGAAAATATACACAAGGTATGTACGCCAAATGAGAAGGATAATCAGTTAGCAACATAATCCCCGTTTATGTTGTGTGTTAACTTGGACATTTTTATAAAGCTAGTTGTATCTGTGTACAATACCTTCTACAACAACAACAATAACAAACATGCCCCAGAGCAGAACTAGTTAGGGTTGGCTGGCTCACACCAGTGGTGTTTTACCATACCTTCTAGCATATATCAGCTGTGATTATGGGCATATCTTTAAGCAGTTGTCATCTGGGTTGCAGTGTGTCCCCTGGAATTCAAGCAGCCATTAGAAGTGGTCAATGCATGCAGAAATTTAGCCGCTCCAAGCCCTTCATGTTGTAGCTCATTAAATGCATATATTGCTGGGATACAGAAGCAGATGTTGATTACAAATCGACAAGCAATTATATGTGCTGCGGCATTTGGTTTTATGTTACAGAAGGCCGGGGTCATGACAAATGTTTACGAGCTTTGTGATGTTGACCTGAAAGACTTCAGTCTCCAGGGTGATTGTTCATTTTTTACATTTTGTTTTTCAATCTCTTGTTGATTTCTGTTATTTTATCTGATTTTTGCTTTCTTTGTGATTGACGTCTGTTTGCAATGGAGCAGCATACGGGCAAGAAGGTACTGATTCTCCTCGTCATTTTGTAGTTTTTTGGTTCTCTGATTAGTGATCAAGAAATATTGATCTATTTTTCCCCTTTCAGCATAAAATATTCAATTTAATAAATTTCTATACGTAGATATTTGGAAAATAAGTTGTTATGATCCCCAAAAACTCTGAACTGTGTTACAACCAATACATAGCTCCCAAAGAACTTAAAACTTATAAATTTGAATTGAGAATTGCAGTTTTTGTTACTGTTGCAGGACTCTCCTTTTCCATCTGCCATAATGTTATAATAAAATTTTTATTCCCACTATAGTTATTACCTCTTCCAACAGCCCTGTAACAGTTTCTTTTACATATTAGAATACAGTTAGTATCGTTGGACTGTAAGTTGAAACGAGTTTCTTTTCCCAGTTTCTCGTTAAACTGAATCTGTACTTTCACACCTTTAGTGATGAGAATATGGATAATTGCTCAATTGTATCGTACAAGTATCACAGGACTTTAGAATAGGTTCCCTACAAGTACCTTAGTGATCATCACAAGCAGGGGTGAATCTGGGATATCAAGATGATGGCTGTACTATTACTGAGAAGTGGATCAAATTTATATTTGACGTGTTTAGCCTTGAATCCGTTGCACTTTCGAAATTATATTTTAATTTTCTTGTTGCAAATTTAGTGATTTTTAACATAAATACCTATACAAATGTTGAGATTAGTTGAACCCGTTATGATACATCCTCCACTTCTACAGTAAAATACTAAAATGTAGACACTTGGCATAATTATATAAGATTTAACTGTTGGGACATTCTGAAGGAAGACCTAATGCCCCCTATCCTCAACTTCCACCGGAGGAGCTTCCTTGAGAAATCCTTTAATGCTACTCTCATAGCTTCGATCCTAAAGAAGCCTGGAACAATAGAATAAAAGGATTTCAGACCAATCAGCCTAATTGGAGGGGTTTACAAGATCATCTCCAAGCTGATTACTTAAAGTTTGAAAACAGTTATAGGGAAGCTGGGAGATGGACATCAAATGACATTCTTGAGAGGAAGGCAAATCATGAATGCTGTTCTGTTGGCAAATGAATTGGTAGATTCTAACCAGGCATCCTATGCAAGCTAGACATTGAAAAAGCTTATGATCATGTCAATTGGAATTTCTTACTAAAAATTCTGTAAGACATGGACTTTGGAGAAAAATGTATCTGCTGGATACGATTTTGCATTTCAAAGTGTAAGATTCTCACTCATCGTAAATGGTGAACCTGAAGGATTTTTTCAATCATAGAGGTCTGAGACAAGGTAACCCAATGTCACCTTTTTTGTTACTTCTGACTATGGAGGGAATGAACCACATGTTTAGAACAACAAAGTAAAATGGGTGTGTGAAAGGATTTAGTGCTCAGACAGGGAGGGGTGATGATCTAGAAATTGCACACCTTTTTTATGCTGATGATACTCTGTTTTTTTGTGAGGCAGAAGTGGAACAAATCACACACATAAGAGTAATCCTTGCAATATTTTAGGGCATCTCACGACTTCATGTCAACTGGTCAAGAAGTTTCCTCTCTCCAATTAATCTGGTAGACATTTTACAAAGTCTAGCTAAGAATTTGGGATGTCAGGTAGCTTCTTTGTAGCTACTTTTGGCTACAAAGTACCTGGGGATGCCTTTGGGAGCCAAAAAAAAAAAAGGAACTGGAAGTATGGAATGAGAAGAAAATCAACAAAATGAGAAGATCCTTCATCTGGCAAGGAAACAAAGAACAAAGAGGCTACAATCTGGTGAAATTGGAGATACTCACTCTGAACATAAATCAGCCTTGGATTGAGAAACCTAAACAACCAGAATAACTGTTTACTACAAAAATGGTTATGGAGATTCTGTATTGAAGAGGGAGCCCTATGGAGAAGGTTCATAGCAGGGAAATATGGCTTGCTTAGCCAATTGACTACTGAGGAGGTGATGGGGTCTTTTGGATGTAGTGTGTGGAAAGACCATCAGAAGGTTGTGGCCTAATTTCCAACAATATCTATATCAGTGTGGGTGATGGCCTTAAAAATAGATTTTTGGAGTGAAATTTGGAGAGGGAATGATAGCCTGAGGAGCTTATTCCTGCACCTCCATATTTGAGCCTTCAAAGATTTGGTACTGTTGCCCAAGTATGGAGGCAACAAAGGTGGAACTTAGTGTTCAGGAAGGCTGTGAATGACTGGGAAATTGAGATTTTGCCAGGTTAGTGGAGGTGCTAAATACCTCACCAGGTATATCTCAAAGAAAGGATAAACCAATTTGGAGACTGCATAGCAAAGGAGTATTCACAGATAAATCTTGCTATTGGAGGATGAATGTCAATAAATCATTGTCAGATAATTGGCCTTGGAAGCTAGTGTGGCAGACAAGACTCCCATTAAAAGTATCATGTCTTGCTTGGCTAGTGATAAGAAAAACTTGCCTTACCCATGAGGCATTTAACACATGCAATTCTGTTCAAGGTGCTTTATGTGTGAGCAGAAAACAGAGGTAAATAACCATATGTTCTCCACTGTAAAGCAGCCTCAAATTTGTGGATTATGTTTTTGTGTATATCAGAGGTGATGCCAAAGAAAACTAGGGAGCTCCTTAGCAGCTGGACAGGAATTGGCAACATAGGGAAAAAAAGATTGGTTGAAGACTATACCAGCCTGTATATGATGGACTCTATGCAAAGAAAGGAATGCTAGATGTTTTGAAGGACAAAAAGAAAGTTTTCTGAAGATAAAAAAATGAAATGCTCAAGTCTTTTGTTTTTTTGGGTGTAAACAAGAATTGGTAGGGGAAATCATAGAGATAGTTGATTTTATAGGAAACTTGTAATTCTATATCTTTTGAGGGTGTGCACATACCTTGTGGGATGAAGTTTCCAATTCATCATCTCTTGGATGATGAAATTTTTGTGAATACGAAGTTACCCTTGTCTCAAAAAAAATTTATATAAGATTTTACTGTGACAAAGGAGAATAGGGATTTCAATGTGTCAGATGTGGGGATTTTGAAAGGATAAATCAAATAAAGAAAGGAAGGTGAAGAAAAGTACTTGATTAAAACACAAGAGGGGACACCAGACATGCCCTCAAACATGGAGATTTGAATCCCAGAAAGAGAAAGGAAAAAATAACAAGATAATTGTGAGATTTGAACCCCAACTTCACTTGTTGAGCGGCAACCAATAATCATTGCATCATAGAACTCTTTGAGCTTGGGTGCCCCCATATGTTTTAAAGAATATAGCTTTGCTATACATACTATAGGAAGAGGAGCATGGTTGCATGCGAGCCCATGCTTCTCCACACAGATACACCCCCGATTGATACTCCCTGATTCACCTTATAAATCAGTCAGCTACTTGCTCGTCAATAAGTATGTTGAATTATTCGGTTAATCCTACTTCAGTCATCCAGAATATGTATACGTGCTGTTCTACTCATGAGAAGTGGTCACTTGAAAGGTTATCCTCTAGGTTAGGGATAACTGGAATGTTATGCATACAGCTGTAGTTGTTAGTGAGCAAACTGAAGTTCATCACTGTGTTTGGCTGCAAAACTAAATTCAACTGCATGTTACAATACTAGTATGTTGTCAATGCTGCTTTTCTCCAGTTACAGTTGTATACTAGTATTTGGTGTGGAACGCGTTTTAGGTTTTCTTGGCTTAAGTTGTACTGATTAAGTTATTCAAATTAATTAGCAGGGTGCTTGCTTCGAAGTTATCCAGCAGATCTGGTGTATGACAACTCAACAGGTTTCAGCTTTACTTGCGACTTAAATGATAATATTGCTGCTCCATGGCCTTCATCATCGACAGCAACATCCTGGACTCTTTGTGCTCCTGGTAATTTGACTGAACTTACATTAATTCCGATTCTGTCAAAATAGAGCTACTTTTTATATATAGAGCTGTTATAAATCGTCTTTGTTTTCATTAACCAAATGCCTAGATGAATCACTTTAATTTGCAGAGATGTCTTTGCCAGCTCTACCAACATCAGAAATATTGGGAAATTATAGTGAGTATCTTTCATTTCCTACCTGTTTTGCTTATCCCTGTGATGCCATTTATTTGTGAAGGTCATCCTAGTAGGTAGTATTGTCTGCTTTCCTGCTCAAGCTAGAATTGCAGTTATCATCAGGGGTAGGCTTTATTTCCGAACTTTGGTTTCAATAATTCGGTAATCGGCAATTGAAAGTTTATACCAAATACCAAATTCTCAAAGTTCGGTTCGGTACATAAATCCAGATATGGTAATTCAGGAGTTACCTTAACTTGACAGAATTCTATATATTTTTGAACTCTAATTTGTTTGCTTTTAATTAATTGTATACTGCAAAAAGACACCAAATATCTTCGATAGCCATTGGGAAACACTTTCCAAGTCATCCTATGCTATTTGCTTTGTTGTTTTTATGTCGATCAAAGATAATCATACAAGTCAAAAACATGAATATAAAGAAAAAAATCAACTACAATTGATAGCTGACACTATGCATATCTTGAAAAAAAAAACATATCAAACTTTTCGTCTTGGATACTATCGGTACATGTATCAAAGCTCATGTTAGATAAGAAAAATAAATATAATTCATAGTAGCAGCACTGTCCACATAATTATAATATCTCTACAGTAGTTCAGTGCATTACAAAAGGGAAGGAACTGTTTCTCTTCATATATCCACTTAAGACTTCTCCTATTCAGGATAAAAAAGAAAGACCACAGAGATTATGAAATGCATGAAACATTTCCACAAATTTCCAAGAGCCAACAACTAACAAGCTTTTAACCCCCCAACCAGCCTGTCTCTCCCCCCTCTCCGGTGGCCCTTCTGACCACCGGAAACCTACTAGTCCCTTCTTCCTTTCTTTCCAAGTTTTAGACGATGGAGAATATCATATACTTCGCAGTGGGTTTCAAATCCTTTGACATCGAAAAGATCTCAGGGACGACAGGGATTTGGTACGAGTGGACTGAAAGAACAGAAAAACCATCACAAGGACTTCCTTCAGCAAGATCCATGGAATGGATAGTCTAGATTCTCAGAGAAGCATCTAAGACGCAAGGAAACATAGTTCGTAGATGGAAGAAGACAGAAGCATTGTCGGAGATCTTTTGTGCGCGGAACTACAATAAGTTTGGAAGATACATCAGCCTTATAAATTTAAAGGGGAAAAGGAAATCAGTTCTCATCATTCCAGAAATGACAAGATTCATTAGCACACACCGGATGAAAAATGTCATTGAGGAATATAGGCTAACTGATAGCAATACTCCTTATGCAGAGATGGTCAGAAGCTTTAAATGGGCAAACAGAGATGGGAAAGACTCGAAGGTTGACCTTACAGTTAAAAATGGAGGAGTAATCAGCATTAAAGACTCCTTAATAACTCAAAATGAAGTTTTGAAGAGAAGTTTGATGGGTGAATTTAATGCCTCTGTAGTCCTCTCTGAAGTCAGAAGGTGGGCTTCTAGTCTCTGGAAACAAGCACACGGCTTAAATATTTATGAAATGGGGAATGGAATGTTTCTGTTTGAATGGAATTCAAAAATGACTGCAGAACAGGTCATGGAAGGGGATTGACACTGGTTGAAAACTCCAATAAGGCTACAATGGTGGAATCCCTTAAGTGGAACCATTGAGAAGAAGAATGGGCCTGACACAACCTGGGTCAAGATAGTGGGGATCCCACTCCACCTATGGACTCACAAGGTCTTCAAATCAATAGGTGACCACTGCGGGGGATGGGTTGAAACAGAGGAGGAAACAAGTATTCGCAACCATCTGAAATGGGCAAGACTCGAGATCCGTGGTGACGGCAGTAACATTCCGAGGGAGATAAAGATAAAAAATGGTGGACTGGTCTTCACGATGCAAATCTGGGTCGAAACTCCGGCGAAAGTGGAGGCCGGAGAAGATAAGCAAAATAGGTCCTTTAACCAACAGATATTGGGGGATAATCCAATGGGTAAAAGGTCTGATGAGGCTACAGATATAGTATAGGGGGACAGGCCTAGGGTTGAGTCAAACCCTAGGTCATGTGCAATTGCTGGCACTAGTGGGGTCCAACAACTTTTGTCTTTAACTAATAAAGCACACATTCAATCTGTTGAAAGAGAAATATTGGGCCCAAAAGAATCATTGGGCCATAACCCTACTGAAGTGAATTTACCCCCACTTATTTTAAAGGGAAAGTCATGTGAGGCACATGAGGATTCACTTAGTGGGCTTAAAAACATAAAAGAACTGGCTTCACAGTTCTTAGAAGCCTTCAGAGCCTGGGAGTTCTCTTCAGATTTAAATGTGAGGGAGAACATGGCATCACAAGTAACACCGGAGGAAAATTCTCTCATGCAAGTTAAGGAAAGGATAGAATCCAGCATAAATAACGACATGAGTAGAAGAGCAGAGAATGAGTACATATCTATAGATCAGACTCCACCAGAAACAAGGGAGACAGACTTACAGATTCAGCAGATATTAGATGCAGAACCAGTGGCCATGCAAAATTTGGTTGAATCAGAAACAACTGAGACTGAAGCACCAAGTTGGGTGAACTCACACATACTGGAACTGAGCAACACCTATGGGGTAGCCTTTGAGGGGTTTGAGAAGGAAACACTAGCATTGCTCATGAGAATTGATGAGAGGAAATCGATGCTAGACAACAAAGGGAAAGAAATAACCACAACAACTCCAAAGAGCAGGGGGATAGGGAAAAATGAACTTAAGAACCTTCAATCTAGCCTAAACAAAGAGGTGGATGGGATCAGAAACAGGGGGAGGGTGCTCAGTTTAACTTTTAAATGAATATAAAACTTCTCTCATGGAACGTAAGGGGTCTTAACAACATCTCCAGCAAGAATATTGTTAAGACATGTTTGCAGAAATGGAAAGTGGATGTGGTTTGTCTTCAGGAGACAAAGTTAAATAAAGGAATAGAGGAGATTGCTAAACAGTTATGGGCATTTAGATGGATGAGATGCGGCTACATAGAAGCAGATGTAAGCAAGGGGGAATCCTAATCATGTGGGATAGGAGAACATGGGCAGTCACAAAGGTGGAGGAGGGGAACTACTCAATTACTTACAAGTTTGAATCAATACAAAACTCTTTCTCATGGTTCTTTACTTGAGTATACGGTCCACATAGCAGAAGTGAGAAGTTAGAGTGTTGGGAGGAAATGGTAGCAATGAAGGAACTGAGTGAAGGCCCTTGGGTCACTAGCGGGGACTTTAACACAGTCAGACACATGGAAGAAAGAAGAGGGTGCACTAGAGTCACCAATATCATGACTGATTTCTCCAAGTGGATTGAAGACTTGGAATTACATGATCCAGAACTATTTTGGGGGAAATACACTTGGTTCAGAGGATCCAATCATCAAAGTGCTGCAAGACTTGACAGATTCCTATACTCCATGGAGTGGGAGGAGTGTTTCAAAAATATCAAACAGAGCATCCTTCCCAGAACAGTCTCTGATCACAGCCCAATACTATTAGAATGTGGGAACTGGGAACATAGGCAATCCTATTTTAAATTTGAAAATTGGTGGCTCAAAGTGGATGGTTTCAAGGAGATGGTGCAGGGGTGGTGGAGTGGCTTTGTGGTAGAAGGGTGCCCTGACTACAGACTTAGCAACAAACTAAAGATGCTGAAACAAAAGTTGAAAGAATGGAGCAAACAAACCTTCAATGAAAGAACCAGAAGGAAAAATAGCCTACTAGAAGAATTGTCTGAGTTGGACAAAATCCAAGAAGAAAGAGAACTGTTTGAAAATGAGGTGTTGATAAGAGCAACAATACTTGTGGAGCTGGAAGTGTTAGCAAAGCAAGAAGAAGCCAGCTGGAGGCAGAAATCCAGAGCTTTGTGGTTGAAACAAGGAGACAATAATACTAAATTTTTTCAAAGAGTAGCTACAGCCCACAGGAGATATAACACAATTGACAAGCTATTGGTGAGAGGTGAGGAAACCCAGGATCCTAAAGAAATTACGGAAGCCATGATTGAATTTTACTCCAAGCTCTACACAGAACCTGAATCATGGAGACCTTCCTTTGAATTTAGAGGATGCCCAACAGTCTCAGCTGAAGAAATGAGTGGTTGCAAAGGCCTTTCACAGAAGAAGAAGTACTACAGACCATTAAGCAGTGTGATGGTGACAAGCTCCAGGTCCTGATGGTTTCACCATATCTTTCTTCAAGGAGTGTTGGGATATTCTTAAGGAAGATCTCATGCATACTATCCACAATTTCCACATGAGGAGCTTCTTTGAGAAATCCTTTAATGCTACTTTCATAGCTTTGATCCCAAAGAACCTGAGGCAATGGAATTAAAGGATTTCAGACCGATCAGCTTAATTGGAGTGGTGTACAAGATCATTTCTAAGCTAATCACCGAAAGATTGAAAATAGTTATAGGGAAGCTGGTTGATGGACATCAAATGGCATTCTTGAAAGGAAGGCAAATCATGGATGCTGCTCTGCTGGCTAATGAAATGGTTGACTCTAGGGTAAAACAAAAGAAACCAGGCATCCTATGCAAGCTAGATATTGAAAAGGCTTATGATCATGTTAATTGGAATTTCTTGCTAAAAATTCTGAAAGACATGGGTTTTGGAGAGAAATGGATTGGCTGGGTACAATATTGCATCTCAAATGTAAGATTCTCACTCATTATAAATGGTAAGCCTGAAGGATTTTTTCAATCGCATAGAGGTCTTAGACAGGGAGACCCTATGTCAACTTTTTTGTTCCTACTAACTATGGAGGGTCTGAACCACATGTTCAGAACATCAAAGGTAAATGGCTAGATAAAAGGGTTCAGTGCTCAAATAGGGAGAGGTGATGATATGGAAATCACACATCTTTTCTATGCAGATGATGCCCTGGTTTTTTGTGAAGCAGAAGTGGAACAAATTAGACACTTAAGAGCAATCCTTACAATATTTGAGGCATTTCAGGGCTTCATGTTAACTGGTTGAAAAGTTTCCTCTTCCCAATTAATCAGGTAGACA